ACCTCGATAGCCCGACACGGGTATATTGCCGCCCCGAAGACGGCCAGCTGTCTATCGCTTCGCTTCCCTGTTTCTGCCTCGTTCACTTTCAGTCCTCCGCGATTTTCGGCACGACTCCCACCTCTCTTCCCATTTTTCATTCGACGACCAACAGAAATCGAGTTCGTAAGAAAAGAGAACAACGTTTGACGCAGAAAATGTTCCGCGTGAGTATCGATAACGCTCGAGCTAACGGGCGGCTTGCGACAGCGGTCGAGAGTCATAATAAAAGCGAGCTCACGGAACGCATAATTCTCACTCTCATATCTGGTCAACGGTGGTTTATTAATGGCCGGTCGGCGCGGCGCATAAACAATGACTCGCGCAAGTCGTTCCGGAGAGAAAAAAGTATTACGCGGCTGGCCGCTCTATAAACCACGCGGAATATCGTACAATCGGAGGCGGACGTCTCGGTATGTGTATCCACGTCAATGCAACGTACGACGCTCGAAGGTGCTATACCTGTCACCGGCGCTGTGCTCACTCGCTCACGTATGCCAGCGCGTGTGCACGCGTGCCTATCTATTCTGTGCCGCGGTCGGAAAAGAAAAGAGGGAAAAAGGCAGTGGAAAGGAAAAAAAAAAACATCTTTTAAGTAACGACGTATTCTCACGCGTTTATTCACGAGCCAAGCTCGCGGATACCGAGACTTACGCGGCTGCGCCTACTTATGCGCGCAGGTGCGAGCCTTTGCTACGCTCGTGTGTCCACGCGTGTACCATCTCGGGCTTGGATAAGATCTGTGCGTGTGTGTATACAGACATGTAGCGTGTACGTAGAGAGAGCCAGATTCGGTGTTGCGTTAATGCATTCGTTAGGGTACCGATACATTCGCAGCAAAGACGACGACTTGCGTCTTCTTGTTCTTCTTCTTCTTCGCTCAGCCGAACTCTCTGGGCCCAGCTTTCCCTTCCTCTCTCTCTCTTTCTGGACCCATCGGCCAACTCTCCAGGGCCCTTCTTCGCCACTGCTACTACTCTCTCTCTTCTTTTTCTCTCTTTCTCCAGCCTCACCTCGCCCTTAAACTCTCTCCTTCGTCGTTCGCTTTCCTGCAGGCTCTCGTGAGCTAAATATAGCTAGGGCTCAGATATAAATAGAATAACCCCGCGGGCCAAGATGGCCGGGGTCAGCTCTCTTGCATCCTCCACATCTTCTTCTTCTTCTTCTTCTTCTTCTTATTCCTACACCTCTTCCTCCTACTCCTCCTTCTCTTCTCCGCTTCGTCTTCCAGGCTGCTGATTTTTCTTCTCGTTTCTTTTCTTCCACAACGTTCCCCGGGCTCCCCGGGCGCACCAGGATTTACCTGTCCCCTTCGCCGGTTCGTACGGCTACTCCGAAGGCTTTAACACCTTCGTGTCCACCCCGGGCAATTCCATTGGTCGACCTTAGGGCCGGAGAGGTCGGTTCCCTCGATAAGAGGTCGCCGACTTCGCGCCAGCTGCCCTTGATGATGCCCGCGTGTGGTTTCGGGCCGTTCTTTATTGCCCGGTCTTACGTAAAATAAACGGCGCGGTTTTTTGCCACGAGCGAGCCGAGGACGCGTAGTGGAAATTTGGATTCCGACCTCGTCGGACGGATCGTATAGACGAGATTCGGAGTGAGAGACCGTGGGGAATAGTGTAGCAACGGTATGGAACGTCGGAAGAGAGCAGAAAGGGAGGAACGGTTAGATATTCCATTTTCGTTCGTTACCGTCGCTCGAACTCGTATACTTCTCTTCCAGCTACTCATACCTGAAGAGCATACAGAACGAACGGTAGGTGCATAAAATCGTAGCCAGGTACGCGGCTAATTAGATTTAATTGTGTTGAAAATTAAATACCGTTCTTTCGTGAACGACCTAGTGCTTTCTTTTCCCGCGTTTGTCATTCTATACGAGAGGTCGTAGAAACGAAGAAGAAGAAGAAGATGAAGAAAATGAGGAAGGTTGCTCGAGGCTCCGTTCGACCCTGGCCAGGGCCGTATCGGCGGGATTAATGGCAGTGACATCTCGCTCGTGGCCAGATGAGATTCTTCTCTGGCTCGGGAGTAGAAGGAGAGAAAGGAGGAGAAGAACGAAGAAGAAAGTACGAAGAGAGAAAAAGAAGGAGGAAGGTAGAGAAGATGTCCAGAAGAAGAAGAAGAAGAAGAAGTCGACGACGAAGCGGAGGAGGTGGAGGGCACCCGATGTGAGTCGAGTGCGTTGACCTTAGGATTCGATGCGCGTCCTTGAGGATACCAAGATGGCGGGTTTATGCAACCGGCCACAATGGTATCTCTGCTGCACAGAGTCCATGCTCTTTCTCTCTCTCTCTCTCTCTCTCTATCCATCTTTCTCGTCGCTATCGTTCTATTTGACGCACGACGATTCGACGCGCTTGCATTCTCGGGGGACGACTCTCTGCGCGCACAGTTGTCTCCACCTCCTCCTCCTCCTCTTCTTCCTGTGCTGCTCTTCTAGAACGGCGCACTCGGCCACACGGGTACACGCGTCCACGCACAACGTGCGTACGACCGGCACCGACATGAGCTTAAGACGCGCCGTTAAAGCCAGTCAGTCCAGTTTCCATCGGCGCAGGCTGCACGGACGAGCCAGGAATACGGCGTGGATTCGAAAGGAAATCAAATCCGAGGAAAGGCCAACGAACGGCCTGGGATGTGCTCAAGCTTCGAGCGCGACCTCTGCCACTCTTCTCCGACGAGTGAACACAGGCGAGCAAGGCAAGCAAGCCGAGCTTGCCTCTCGCGTGCACCGCTGTGACGAGAAAAACGCCCGGCTTTCCTCGATTCATCCTCGATCGTTTCCTAGAGCGTTCCCGTGAACTATACCCGTGAAACGACACCACCGACCGCGAGCACGTCGCGTCGTTACCCCTCGTCCATCCAGCAGCCAGTTCTCTCTTCTCGTACATCGAGGCCGCTTTTTTTTTCACCTACACCTTCGATTCCTTTCGTAGACACGCTGTCAACCGTCTCCCGTCTTCTCTACACCACGGGCAGCATGCGACATTTTCTGAATTCCTGCCGAGCGTCTGGTGGCTATTGATAGCGTTGTCGATGGTATTTTTACAAGTTCACCAATCACGATCTTTTACCATGTTGCACGTCCGTTTCTTTCGATTTTCGATGCCTCGCGAGAAGCGAGGAGCAGCTGGCCTTCGTTGCGTGTGTCCAACGTCGAACAGCACGCAACTGTTCGCAGCGAGGGGGGCAGCCAATAAATTTCGTCCAGGCCTGTCCACCGGCCATAAAGATTCGGGAACTGGAACTCAGGAAATTGGTACGTCAGTGTCATCGGGATGTAAAAACTTGTTTCTTGCCTACTGCACTCGCCGTGGCACGTATGTATCGTGGCGCGCGGAGGGGAAAAAAGTCGCGCGGGGATTCGATACTTGACAATCGAACCTTGGCCACAAGCGACGACCCTCTTCGACCGTTCCGTGCACCGACCATGTTTGAGCCTGTGTACGTGTACGGTGGAGACTGTGTATTCACCCTGGCACAAGTACACACGGTTACACTCCACCACAGACATCTCCAGAGAGAGAGAGAGAGAGAGAGAAAGACACGTACACAGAGGGTATACACACGCGCGACGCGAGCAGGGATCCTTGATCCTACAGGAATGCAGTCTTGGCGGCCCACGCGGCCTCAAGTACCCCGCTCTCCGTCTCTGTCTGTCGTTCTCTCTACTGCTCGCCTCCTTATCCTCTTTCTTTCTTCGTTTTCACGAGATCTAATCCCCGTAGGGCCAGGTTCGTACGCCGAACACCGTCGGCATTGGTCGAATGCACGCGCCTTCCCTTTATGAACGGTCAACTTATTGTTACCCCGAGGGTGGCGAATTATCAAACCTGTGGAAAAGCAGAGACTTCACCCCGAAATCTATCGACCGTAGTTCGGTGGAATTTTTCACCTACGAAGGGGGCTCTGCAGACGGAGGAGGGCAAGAGATGATAATCGGTCTGGCACAGGGAGGTTCGGTCGGACAGTGACCAAGACAAATCGCCCTTACTACTGTTATTCCGTCCGTATCGCCGGTGAAATCTGAACTCGGGAAATCAAACGCGGCAATTTATCAACCCGGCCGCACAGATTCTTCGATTAAAATGGAGAAAGATCCTGTACGATAAATCGTTCGAAAGGCAGAAATTGAAACGATCCACGGGTAAATCAAGGGGGAAACCGAATACGAGCTTCGGTCGAAAACATCCCCCTCTGATCACTTTCCCTCTCGCGAGAGTGGCGAAAACGACGTGCAGGGAAAAAGTGCGAGGGGACACAAAAGGGAACGCTTGGTGTGGTCAACTCGCCTGGTATTTTTCGCCACGGGTACATGCCCGGTTATTAATTCCTGGCCGTTTAGCGTCCGGCGAAAAGAAAGATACTCGGGTTTCAGCCGGCTGTGTTCCGCCGTCATGCGGCTCTCGCGTGATCGAACGAGCCACGTCCCCCATAAATAAACTTTTCATACATCAGCCATGGAGAATAAAGCACATAGAGAGATGAAATCATAGCCTGTGCGCCGCAGGATACACCGTGCATCCGCGGCGACGGTGTCCGGTAGCTCGCAGCGGTTTAATCGACGTCCCGCGAGGAAACTTTTCCTTCTTCGCGATCCAGCTCCTCTCCGCCGGGTGTTGTGCAGTTAAACAAGCAACAACGCCGTACGTACGCTAAGCCAGCCTAGCGGGCTCGCTCTCCTCCTATTTTTCCTCCTCTCTCTCGAGAGAGAGGAGAGATCATCTTCGATCTTCAAGGTCGGCTGCATGCGGCTCGAGGCCTTCTCGAGAAGGCGTCGATGCAACCGCGGCGAATTCGTTCGACTGTTTTCTTCGTCCCGCAGCTGTTCGATCCCTCGTCTTCTCGTATTCTCACCTACGTTCAGACGCCACGTTTTCCTATCCCTTTCGTCGCCGGATACACCACGTCTCGAATCTCGTACACGGATTTCTCAGCCTGTCCCTGAGCCATCTGACGCCATGGCGACGCCCGCGCAGGAACGAAAGGGAACATTCGAGAGGATAATAGAAACTGGGATCAACGTTCAGGTACGACCAGTGACTCTAGGATCTTTGAAATCGATCATTTGTGGATCGTTCGCCGAATTCGTCGTTCTAGACACCTGCGTTGAAATTCGAGATGAGCGTTTTCGATGCCGATATCGACGACTTCGACGATTTCTCGCGTGAGAGGGAGGAGGAAGAGGAAGAAGAAGCTGAAGAGGAGTTGGGAGAATGGAAGAAGTTGGCGGACGAAGTGTCTACCGTGTGGGAAGATAGCACTGCTAGGAGTGACGAAGGTGAAAAGTTTGAGGTGTTTCACGAGGATGACGAAGAAGTAGGTGAAGAGGAGAGGGAGGAGGAGGAGGAGGAGGAGGAAGAAGAGATACCACTTTCCTCGACGATTTCTAGCGCGGAAAAGTTGGAAGAGGAAGAGCGACAGATAGAGGAATCCGATCACGTGCTCCCCGAGATACCTGCAGAGGTGCGCATAAACCTGTCATTCTCTCTCGTTCTGCCTGTGGAATTGCTATTCCTCACGACCTTCGTGATACATTAAGATTCTATGCCTCCTAAGCCACCGTGCTGCTGCTTCTCACCGTGTCTCTTATACCTTTAATCCGCGTATTTGCACATAATGGCCGGCCGATCGGTACATATTGTAAATGGAGAAGATGTAAATAATAAAGAGGTTTCTGCTGTAACGTCCCGTTGTTCTTCTTTCCTCTTTTCCTTTGTTTTTTTCTGCGCCAGGTTTCGGCTGACCGTGAAGCGATTATTAACAGGCTGAAGGAGTTGCACTCCGAATTGGCCGAGTTGCGAAGGAAGAATAAAATGCTGGAGGTCTGGGTCTCTCGAATAATGAAAAAGGTCAGCTGTCCAAGTGCCGCTTTTTACGTCTTCTTCTTCGTGCAATAGAGTAATCCTCGCTTAACCATCGGACAGCTGGAGGTACGGCAGTCGAAGGAAGAGGGAAGCCGAAAGATTTGTTCGTTTGTATATTAGAGACTTCATTTTCTTCGTCAGATTTTTATCTGAATATATTAAAATACATTTCTCAGTAAAACAAACTAAAAATAGAAATGATCTTACATCATATTAAGTCCTCCTCCATTATACCCATAGAACACTTTTTCACATTATTGTAAAATTTTTTGCCCCATCCTGAATCTTCTATACACGGGTCACAAATGACCCAAGTTCTCAAGCTCGCAGTTAATAGCCTCATTTTTCCCTCGGTTAATAGTCACTGATTTACCCACAACAATTGAACAATGTGATCTTGAAATTCTCTCTACGTTTTCATTTACATAAAATTATTTACGACATATTAAGTCTCTCTCCGTATCATCCAAGTTTCGTATCTAAAATTTGTTCATATTGTACAGTTTTCCTCGTTTAATAGTCTGAGTTTCCTCCAACAATTCTCTCTATTTCACTCACACTCAATATTTCTCTCTCTCTCTCTCTCGTCATGCACTCAAAAATCGAGTAACCCAAAGGTTAATCGAGTAATTCTTAGAACATCCATGTATCGTGACCTGAGCTTGCGAGTGTTAAGCGAGCATTGCTGCATTACGCCCTTTCTCGCCAGTAAGCCAACAAAATTCGACCGTCCACGCAGAGCCAGCAAAGAATGACACCCTCAGATCCCACCAAAACCGCCGAACAGATGGAAGAAGTCTACAGAGAAGCGCTGCGAGACTACAAAATACAGGTCGACGAGATACTGAGTCAGCAAGCAGAGCTGACGTTCGAATTACAGACTTACACTCGAAAGGTTCAGACGAGCAAGGAGGAGGACTATCAAATCTTCCAAGGATTTCTAGATCGCGAGAAAGAGGTATCGATCGATCTGGTCTACGCGAAAACGGGCAAAAGAATCACCGAGAAGATGATGAACAACGTGATACGTCGTCAGGTGTTTCTCCATTTCTGCAAGAAATAATCGATCGTTTTTATATACAGTCGATCATCATCTGAACTTTCTTACACCAGAACACGCGACGCGAAGTTTTAGCGCGAGATCGTCGGAACTACATACTTCTTCAGCATCGTCTCGAAGATTTGAACACGAGACTGAGAATAGCGGAAACCTTGGGGGAAGGAATGACTGCTATGGATTACGAGGCTCTTCATATCGCTAATATCGGATACAAGGATAGATTGGACGAGAGAGATCGGGAATTGGAGAAACTTCGAATTAAGTACGTCCATTATGAGTTTCGTTATATACGTAGCAGCACTTTCTATTATTCCCCGGTCGAATAGAATCGCGGAGACGGTGAATGGAGTGGCTCAGTACAAAGAGAAAGAGGTGTGTATCTCGCAGGATATAGAATTCGAAGAGGGCAATCTGGAGGAGTACACCGAGGTAAACACCAAGATTCGAGAACGATTGAACAAAGTTCACGTGGCGTTGAACGAGGTACGGGACACCATGAACGAGAAGAGAATCGAAGCTGGATTGCTCGTTTGCAGGTAGATTTCTTGTTAAAATTCTTATCACGTCGATATCACTGAGACGTCTCGCAGCCAAGAGCTGAGGGAGATGGAGAAAATGATGAGGATGAGGGACGATCTGTTGACGAAGATCGAGGAGATCCAACGCGAGATTCAACGGTATCAGCCAGCGAAATAGGAGACGAAGAAGGCAACGAAGAAAGAAGAATAATCGTTACTGTAAAAAAAAAATAAGAAGGAATTATTTCGAGGGAAAATTTCTTTGGTCGAAAGTAGAAGTTCGAGGTCTCGCAAGGATGAAAAACTCGCAACTATCGATAGTATTGAATCGGATCACGCGGTTCCTCGCATTGTACGCCCATGTAACTGTCTCGCTTATCTCGCGGGCAATTTATCACTGTTCCCCGTGCATTCGCAATGGAGATTCGCGATTCTCTTTGAAACAGTATTAATTTGATCGGTCGTGTCAGGCCGCCCACAGAAGTTTCAAGATCGATCCGTCGACACGATCGAGGGTACGTATTAATCGAATCACCGTTGATATCTCCAGGCATCGCATCCACCAGGTCGTTTCTTTTCTTCTTCTTCTCTCCGCTCTGTGTAGCTACAAGATTTCTCGGCCGTGAAACGTATTAATTATAGGCTGGAATGGGCAAAAAACGGATCAGCGCGAACTCGTCGGAGATTTACGTTTCGTCGCGTTTCTGTACGTATACACGTGACGTCGCCTGTCCTGTTAAACTCGGTCATCGAGACGAAGAGAACCCGGTATATGTCCGTTGATCTGAAAGTTGAAGCTTTTGCGGACCGGAATTCTTTATTTTCCGCGCATACGGAATGAACGCCACGGAAACACGTTATAAATTGGCTGCATCCCCCTCGGGGGAATATTAATTCCCTCTCCCCTCCTTGTAAACGCCACGATTCGACGTCTGCTTCGTTAATTAAACGATAATCCGGGAAACGTATTACATGCACGCTCGGCGGTTTCTATATCTCGCAACATGTACCTTTCGAAAGAAGAAGAAAAAATAGAAGAGAGGAAAAGAAAGGATCGCGAAGCTCTGGCGTTCGAATTGATCTTAAAATTCCGCCTTCGGAATAACGAAATAGAAACCGAACGTGTAATCTGAAATTCATATTCCACCTTGCTCAATTTTCACCGTGTACTCTACGAGTTTCCTCGACAACGCGAATCGTATATCTTCCAGCGTAAGGTTCAACGAAGCAACCTCGCGGAGCTTTCATAATCGCCATTACTACTACAGCCTGGCGATGAGATAGCGTTAGATTAGCGAAAGAGCTTCATTGTCAGCGTGTGGGCAGTTTCATTCATTCGTCCACCCACTCGGCCGCACGGATTACTTAAAAGATTCCAAAGGTTATCCGCAACGTTGTTGCACTCTCTCGCTCTCTGTGGAACCCCGGAAAAGAAATCGCGCCTATTAATTTCAGGTGGGCGTAGAATGTACTTTGCCTGGTCAGATAAAATCAGACAAGGGTGGATCTCCCGCTGTTTATATCGAAAAAGGGCACGCAAACACACACGCAGCCACACACCGATCGATCGATCGATCGACGAACACTCTGGCTTTCTGGCTGGTTCGCATGATTTCGGGCCAATTAGGACCCGGCGTCGAAGCCATTAATTCTTTTTGGTAATTTGTCCGTGGCTGGAATTGATTTAAGGCC